TCACACATTCTGAGTATTAGGCAGAACACTTTGCTTATTTTTTTTTAGACAGATTAATTCATGTGGGGGACTACTAGTTAATTATTCCATTAGTTGGTGTAACAACTATTTAGGCCTCTGGTTCCATGGAACACAGTTTGGGAAACACTAGTTTAAAGTAGGTTGTCTTTCTTTTTCTCTGCTATCAACTTAACATCATGCCCTCCTTCGGATCTAATAAATATGCCTTCTTCTTTATTAGGTTGATGTAGTAATCTCTTTTTATGCATTCATACTTTATCACTGGGGTGGAGGACTATTGTATTCTGAAAGTTATCTTTTATGGAGAGCTGGCGACAGGCTCAAGGAAAACAGGTCGACACCCCCCCCCCCCCCACACCACCACCCCTGATGTGTCAATGTAGGATAGGACTTTTTAGCAGTGGATATCCTTGTTGACTACTGGGAAGACATAGCCCTAGACAGCAATGTGTGTAGAAAAAAGGTTGCAAAGAAAACTTTGGAAAGCTAAAAAGCATCTGCCTCAACTATGGATGAAATGCATGTTAAATTGGCTAGTTCTTCTACCAGGAAAGTGAATGCCACCTCAACCTGCATTGTATGTGGATGAGGCGGCCTCACTAGAATAGACCTGATAGTTAAATGCAAAAATGTTCTGCAAGATGAACCATTGTATTTCTAGGTATGAATGAGGCAAATATATAAACCTGTCACATTAATCTTCTTGAGGTGTCAGATGTCACACAAGATCTTTAGATGGATCTTGAAAAGGTATCAATGTCTTGAGATGTTCCTGTGTAGCCGGAGATTCTTATGTAGTTATTATCTCTAGATCTAAATATATCTTTGGAGATTTAAATAACGAAAATCCTTCAATTCAAAATTTTAATTCAAAAACTAGGAATTACTTCAATATACAAAATTTATAAATAAAAATGTATCAAATGAATATCTTCTTTCAAGCTGATTAACAAAAAGATTCAAATTAATGCTAATTCTACAACTGATAAAATATATGCGACTTGACTATCCTAGTTACATCTCCAAAATATTTTAGTCTTACAACCTATCTCTATGAAATCCATCTCCACAACTGGCGCTAAAAGACCCCCTCTAAACAATCCCACAATTATCAGGTGATCCCCACGCTTCAATCATGTGATCAAATGACATCGTAGGCTTTTCCTTCTTTGGAATAATCTAGAAGGAAAGCCGGAGCCAATTACCAAGGTCACATCCAGAAAGAGTTAATAAGATAGACTTATACATGACAATACCCTTTCACATTGACTACTGGAAGCTGTGCAAGCAGGTATATCTGATGACAAAGTCGACAAGCTGCAAAAATTCAGAACATTGTTGTTTGAATAGCTTAATGCTTAACCAAACATGATTCTGCTGCTGCTTTCCTATTCACACCCTATTTATTTTCTACTAGTGCTAGGATCACTTGCAAGGAGGCCACATTTTATCTTATCTTATGAATAACATGGACATTTCTTCAAAAGAGAAGATTATTACACCATATCTGTATCCTTGTGTTAATCTAGTCATGCATATTAATTAAAGACTTGAACTCTGCAAAGCCATTGGATTACCTGGCTGATTCAGGCTGCGATGGCATTCGCAACTCAGTCCACATTGAGCTCAAGACTTATTACAATTCATCACTTATTTGAAGATAAAGTTATACAATTTTAGATTACTTTTGTCTTTTTATTTATTTACTTTTTTTGGTTATGTTCTGAAAATTCCTTGAGCCTACATTTTTTTTAACGGTGCTGTATAAATTAAAATTAATAATAATTTTTTATATAGCTAAATAAATAGCTTATAACTTACATCACACTGTCTATCTCTAGCTCAATTAGAACGCTTGACTAGGAAATAAAAATAATATATAAAATAAATTTCTTCTTTCTAGGAAATATGTGATTTATTTGACTGTATCTTATTTATACAATTTAAAAAAATGTTCATGGTTTTCTTTTTACAGACACGTGGTTCTATAATTTACCAAAAGAGCAGAGAGAGCGTCCAGTCATCTCTGAGGATGTAGCTTTTCTTGGTTACTGCCTCGGGAACCATTGGAGGAATGTTATTCTAAGTATTGGTCTCGGCTTTGGTGAAATTGAAATTGCAGAAGCTGACTACAAGAGTGCTAATGGGGATGCAGTTCATGTTCCCACTCAGCTTTTGATGAAGTGGATACAGCGTGACGGAAGTAAAGCAACATTTGCAACGTTGATTGATAAATTTAAAATTTTTGAAAAGGTCAACCCTGGTTTCATCAATTGGGATGATATCAAAACAATATTTACAAGAAATCAGAAGTAAGTGCACACTATCACTTTCAGCTAACTTTACAAATGCATTAAAATATTTGTGTAGGATTAAACATGTTGAAATCTACTTATCTTATATAATACAGACATTACTTCAAAATAGAAGATGATTATACATTTAGTCATGCATATTAACCAATGACCTAAATTCTGCTAAATCACTGGTTTTCCTGACTAGCTCAGGCAACCCATTCCATTCTCTAATAGCACTAGGGAAGAAGGAGCATTTGTACAAATTTGTCCTAGCATATGGATTGAGGAATGCCCTTTAGTCTTTGTGTCTTTCTGAGTATTTTATTAGCGTCCCCCGAAAGGGGAAAAGATGCTATTAGTTTTGTGTGGAATGTCTGTCTGTCCCATTTAGATCTTGTAAACTAGAAAAGATAGTGAAAATCCGACATCATAATATTTTAGACCCTTCAAAGTTCTGATTCAACACTACTTTTTTCTTTTCTCAAAGTGAAAACTCTAATTTTTTACTACCATCCCCAAAAATTGTCAGGTACCCATACGTGTTAAGTGGACTCAGGGGCATCAAAAAAATCTCAGCCTTCACTGAGATTTGAACCTGAGACCTCTAGGTAGTTAAGCAAAAAAAAACTTTACTGCTCATCCACCCTGCCAATAGAATTGTGTGGTCAAATTCTGAATTGCCAGCTCACAATTTTGTTTATATTTTCTTTTGGCTTTGCAGTTTATGGTCATGTCAATTGCATCCAACAGTATGAGACCTTCATCTAAGAAAGGAGCTCAACTTTTTTTTTATGTGACCCATGTTCACTTTGATGTACTTTGTTGTAATTATTTCAGTTGCACCTTCAGATTTACAGATAATTACATTTTAGCCCAAATCTTCCACAGGACGATGGGTGATGGTAGTGGACAGGATTTAAACCTGGGATGATCAAAACCACTGAACGACAGTCCAGAGTGCATACATGAACTGGCTCAGTATTGAATAATATATAGATTGATAGTCAAATGTAAACCTTGTAATAGATGTGGTAGATGATATTAAGGTTATCTGTTTCTATGACTGATGGTCATGTGGCCACAACTAATGTTAGGTACCCACTTGAGTTAGTTGGACACAGATTCATCCTAAAAATTTCAAAGTTCTAGTCTTCACCTAGATTTGAATTCAAGTCCTTTTGGTTCATTAGGCACATGCTCTACCACCAAGCTACCAAAATGTGAAATTACTCTTTCAAAATTCATTACCACACAGGATGCATGTGGAGCTGACCAGAAGTTTAATATAAAATGATAAGTCTGACCGATGTCTTCAATAATAAAATCATTTCTAAAACAAAATGCCCTGGAGTCTAGCTAAATAAAGTTGTTTTTTTTCTCCACAGAGAAGAAAAGTCGAGGACTAGTAATGACTAGCAGGATTTTAACTTTCTTACGGTAATCAAGTGCTCCACCTTAGATAGACAGATTGCATAAATGGTTCATAAGATATTCCCTTTGCTGATTTGCATGGTCTAAAATGGTTTATTGTTTGTTCAAAAGATAAGATAATTTTATTGGTCCAAACAAAATTTAAATTCAGTTTGACTACAGTTGTCAAATTTAGCTTTCCTACTAAAGCAATAACATAGATGCAAGCATGAATAACATTCTCATGCCTAACTAACATATGTACACACACATGGTCAGAGCTTCATGATTTAAGTTTCTATGTTCTTCTTGGTGACAAAAAGGGTTTATTGTACATGGTGAGACGATTGATTGCATTTTCTATAATTTTTTTCTTTATTTTGGAGTTTAAGGAATTCCTTCTTTTGAATTCCATACATCCTAGCTCAAGCAACCTGTATATCTGGGACAGGGTATGACTGGGGCTGGATCCCAACTCAGGACCACTGTGATGACAATCCCAAGCAGAGACCCAAAATGGCTTAATTTAAATTATGTAATTGCTCAAATCATTGTGTAAATATTGAATGATTCATTGGACAGTACATAATGGTTGATCCCATTGCCATGAACTAGCTAAATAATGCAGACAATTCTTTCAATTGAGTTTGCAGAAAATAAATTTTATCATTGCACTCTGATACTTTCAAAGTATTTTTTTTTCTGATATTTGCATTATCTTTTTATCTTAAAAAAGTTTGTAAATAGGTGTCTGCATGTTAGAAGTTATTAGTTTTAAAAAACAAGTTGATATGTTTCAAAATTATGTATGCACCTTATTTCATTCTGTTGACTTTCAGATCTATTTCAATGTTTTGTCTTTAAAAAAAAATTGAATACTACAGAATTGTAAATTGTACTTTTTTTTTTATTTCTCTTGTAGGTCTGTCTGGTAACTGGACTTTGTCTGCGATAGTTCGTCTATAAAAGGACTGCCATATAATTTCAAAGACTGTTTCTATTTCATCAAGCTATTGAAAGAATTTTTCAAAAAGAAAAAGGCACATCAGCCGAATGTTTTCATGTATTATAGTGTGACCTAAATGATGCCATTGAAGCGGGGAGTCTGTTGCTGAAATGTTTCTTCTTCTTGTACTTATGACATTATAGTTGTATATAAAGAATAATGAAATGGTCTAAATAGAAATATATTCTGTACAAGTTGTATTCAAAAATTAAAACATATTTTCTTTATAAGGATTTATGATCTTATCTCCTCCTTCCCCCCTCCCCACCATCCTCCCATATTAAATATATTCATGTTTACCGAATTTAACTGTGTAATTTATGTCTACATAATGAGATTGCTGTGGTTTCTATCAAGACTGCTTATTACAAAAGTGATCAAAGTATATTCTGCTTGTTTATTTTTAGCAAAAAGGTTCTGTGGCATTTTAATTATGTCCATTAAGGAACGATCTATTCTTTTTGCAACAAAGAAGGCCTATCTTTGATATGGAGTGACCATTCCATTGCTGTTGGGAAGGCCTAGGTGGTAGTATTCTCTATAGACTGAGCATTAATATAAAATACATTTTGTGGAAGAAGTAGTCTTGTATGTAGGTGTAAATTATTTAAAACATAAAAGAAATAACTTGTATAAATGTATGTACGAATTAAATACTTGTGTACATTAAGCTGTTGCAGTAGTTATTGTTACTTGTTGATTCGTTGTTAAAAAATAAAATATTAACTTTATTACATGTAGACATCAGAATAAATAAAATAATTAAATAAAAGAACAAAAAAGGTACATTTTTTTTTTTTTTTAAGGATGGGTATATATTTTATTTTTAGCCATTTGAAAGAGCAAGTGGTAAAGCATTTTATCATGTTAATTAATTTTTACAAATCTTATTTTGTTATCAATATGGAGGCACAGTGGCTTAGCGGTAAAGCGCTCTGCTTCCGAACTAGGGTCCCAGGTTTGAATCCTGGTAAAGACTGGGATTTTTAATTTCAGGATTGTTGGGCACCTCCGAGTCCACCCAGCTCTAATGGGTACCTGACATTAGTTGGGGAAAGAAAAGGCTGTCAAGGTTCTTTTCTTCTGAATATACATATGTGTATTTCAATGCTGACTACCAAATGTAACTAAGTCATGAACATAACCGTGATGACAAATATAGCGACGAAATGAATATTCAGAATGCCGATTCACTGACATATAACTTGTTTATTGAAAATATAAATCACATATAGGTACAGTTCTGGTGAGGGAAGTTTCCAGTATCTATTAATATATTAATAATAATAATAATAGCTCAATATCCAATAGACTGAATAATAGCTACACAAAAATACTTAGAGTCTATATTTCAACTCTATAACAAAAATCCAACTGCCCTGAACTAGGAACAAAAACCACATTGTTGTACTATGAGTTAGCCTACATTCCACTTAAAAAAAACATCGCACAAAGTAAAACAATACTAAATCTTCAGTCAACATCCTGAATTTATCCCCTTCTTTTCTAAAGTTAAAAGGAGACCCAGGCTGACCAGAACTCATTCATGTCAAAGGTGGCTGGTCATTGTGCTGGCCACATGACACCCTCATTAACCGTAGACCACAGAAACAGATGACCTTTACATCATAACAAGGTCTTAAAGGGGAACTTTATTTTTTGTTATCAATGTAAATCAGAAAGTTTTTTGTCGTACAGGGCTAGCTAACTCAAGCGAGAAATTAACCAACACCCATCGATTAATCGGTATGAAACATGTAATTGAGACTCGCAGACAGAGGGCAGCTTCCTTGTGCCCAGAGTTCCATGAGTTTTCAACTCAACTCTTTTGTTGATTACATAGAAGAAAAAAGTCTTTTAGTTTGTCAAAGAAAATCTTCAAAGGAGGCTTCAGATGAACTTAAAATTGCTTCACTCGGTGACTAACAAGGATTTATACTAATATATTTATATATATATATATATTTATACTAATGCCTTGGATTAGACACCACTTTTGTTTTAGCCTATGACCACACCACCTAAACTAAACTTGTGTGATACAAATTTACACAGCAATGGTCGCACACAGGTGCACCCAATACTATTATATCTCGACACATTTGTATCTCATCACTACTATATCTCGGATCCCCATTCCGTATAGGCCTAGACATTTAACTATAAATAATTAGGATGGACACTATATAGGATTATAGGCTCTATACTTATTACAGTTTTATACTTTTTTTTCGATAGAAAGAGAGCAAGTAAAGGTACTTTGTAAAACTGTCAAAAACAAACAACATATATATATATAGCATGAAAAGATAAATCTAGATCGATTGTCAGTTCGACTACATTCAAATTCGATTAATTCATTGAAACGATTAGACATACAATTAATAAAACCGAATTGATAGTGCTTTTTTATTTAGAGAAGAAAATACCAAGAGAAATGCAGAAATGGGAACGGGAATGTGTACGAAGGACTAACTTTTTGTTGTTGGCGGGGGAAGGGGGTGGGGAAGAAGTCAAAGTGTTACTAAAGTTCTCGGACCAAAAATCTGAGAGTGTGTATATGTATATGGGCGCATTGTGAAGTGGGGTCTTTCCAAAATAAAAAAAGTCAAAAGCTTTTGTAGGAGAAGCAAAAATGGAGGAGAAAGAGAGAGCGGGCCAAGAAATCTAATTGTAACAGATATACGGGATAAAAAAAAAGTTTGATCGTTAAAATGAGATTTGTTTATTAAAAATTAAACTAAATAAAATACATAAAAAACAACGAAGGATGTTACGGCCATAATAATCAATTAAAAGTCAAAACAACTCAACGGTTATTGCCGATGCGTAGGCCTACTAGTTTTTTTAATAAATTCGTGGCCATTTATAAGAGCTATAATATATCTCGTCACTTCACTTCTAAAATAATAATATATTCAAAACTGAAAGTTGAAAGTTGAAACAAAGAGTAGAAGAAAAGATTTGACCCACAAAGCTATATACTGGTATATATAGGTCTGTGATTAGGCCAGCAAAATCTTTCTTTAAAAATTGATATTTATCGAAAAGTTGCGCCACATGCAAATTATATTGTATCTTTTCCGTTGGAGAGAATTTGTGAACAATTCAATGTATGATTCAAGTTTGCGATTTTTTGTCAAGATAAGAAAAAGGATTTTGAATTTGTAAGTTTATCTCGTAAAAAAAAAGCTACAATATCAAGAGTTGAATCCAATAACACATTTGTAAAGTCAAAGACTAAAAAGTTAGCATCTTAAATTCAATTTCTGCTTCATTTTTATGAATGATACTGCACAAGCCTATTATTTATAGAGGCATGGGTGAAAATGTCTCTGTTACTAAAGATCTCATGCATGCATGGCAACAATAAAAGGCCCATTAAATATATTAGGCTAAAAAATGGAAAATATGGAAAAATTTGGATTTGCTGGAAACTGACTAGGTTCGACACCTGACTCGAGCAGTGTTGTGTTTACTAAGCGCCTAAAGGCAGCACGGAAAACCCTCTCCCATATACCTCTCCTCCCACTGGTCCACTCATAGGAGACTGGACCATAGCACTCTGAGCATTCTATAAGCATGATAGTAACGCTCTATAAAAGATATATATATTTATATATGCTATATTGTTTATATCGGAATATTGATTTATAACTGATGTCACACCATAGCCCAGTGCTGTAGTTTATTTAGACTTGAAATAGCTTACGCTATTTTGAGATGTCACCGTTTAAAGACTAGATATTACTTAAGTGATAAATAATTCTTGAGGACCTTATACATATATTCCGGCCTTGCCGAAATCGAAATCAATTTTTCCACTAGGTCTTGTTCAATAGACTAAATCGCCAAATTAATGAGTCGTAAATACCTGAAGCCCCGAGAAAAAAAAATCGTTTTTGTCGATGTTGATAGGAGAACCATCGAGATTGATTTCCATCTGAGGTGAGGATCCAATAAGTGGGACAAAAAATATATTTATCAGCCATATCATGAAGTTGTCCTTATGGTTTTTTTCTTGAACAAAGCGGTCCAAGGAAGATATTTCCATCAGAAGCTCTTTCATGTGTGTTGATAGGAAACCTATCTTCATCTTTTTTTCGCCTGGCAACTTTTTCTTATGGCTAATACGTCTTTGAGGTTCTGCATGACAAAGTAGTACCATCAAATTTTGATCCAGCTAGTAGCTAGTGTAATGTCGGAAATAATCGAGAAATATTTTACTTTTAAAACTTTCTGTACGATTTTTTACGTTGTGATCATTAATATTATAAAAAAAATTAGTTTTGTATTTTTTGGGACATGTACGTATTTTGGTCTCTCAGGAATGGATGGTACTTGGATAGTAATTTCACTCGAAGAATTTTCTTTGACTTTGTCCTGCCAATTGTTCTTCAACTTTTAGCGGTGCCGGCGAAGTGACAGATTCTGCTTTAAGAAAAAAAACGCATTATGTCCAAGATTCTTTACAAGATTCTCTTGCTGAGCCTTGATGTCAATATTGTTGCTTACTCACAGACAAACTCCAAGTTCCCTCAAATCAAGCGATGTGTGGCCGAGAGGCAAAAACCGCTAAACTAAGGCTTGGCCACCTTACAAGGGGGCTTGAGTTCGAATCTAGATTCTTGCAAGTTGTATTTGCTGAGCACGTAAAGGCAGCACGGACAACCTTCTCTCAGATACCTATTATACTTCCCCCACTGGTCCACAAATGAGATTGGACCTCTGAGCGTGCTGTAAGCATAAAAGATGCGGTATAGAAAAGCAATTTTTTATAAAGCGATCACTGAATGTGTGCTCTGGTGGTTTCAATTTTTTACTCTAACTTCCACCATTCATTGAACCCATCGTTGGATTTAAATGCAGATCTAAAATTTGATCTTGATGAGAAGAGTGTGTAAAGGAAGCCAAAAAAAAAATATATAAAAAATTGGAAGCACAACACATCCGATTTCTCAAAACTTTCTCCCGTTTGGCATTTGCCTGAAAAACCGAGCATTTGAAAGTTTTTTCACCTTCCGTTTTGCTGATTCTTTTTACATTACAGCATTACACAAAATTAATTAGTAATTTAAAAAAAACACCATTATAAACATATCCATAACCAGTGCATTGAACAATGAAGCAACATCATGTACTTAGGGCTTCAAAAAAAAAAGTGTAAAAGTGCGTGGCCTTAAGAGATTTAAACTACTCTGGTCTCTTGTAAAATTTGATTCAAGCTGGTGTAAAGCTTACATTTAATGTAATTTGAAAAAGAATATAAAACAACAAATTACAACAAAAAAATGGCATGTCTTTGTTTATGTAAGTACAATGTGTAGTTTTTCTGAGAAAGTTTGTCCTCTGATCCACCCATCACTTGATGCCCCGTGCGGCCCGCACATAGCTAGCTACGCCACTGGTTCTGGCCCCAACTCTCTTCGGAATAATCTTTTCACTGCTAATTCACCATGCGTTTGACAAATCCACTCACCAGAGGAGCCAATGTCCCGCTTCTCTCAGGGTTGTAAAGAGATATATGGCCTAACCTTTAGCACTTCATGCTAACTCAACTTGAAAGATAGGCCTTAATTTATGTATCAATTTTATGTTTTGTATTCAACATTTTAGAGTTTAAATGTTTTAATTACGAACTATCACACATTGTGAAATAATGAAACAATAAACACTAATTTAGTTGCTTGTTTGAATAT